TCCCTCCAACAACTCCGATACTTCTAAACAAGATATCAGAATATAGTATTTAAATATTCTGTAATATACTGTGCAAGAAATACTCAGATTGCATATCGCAATGTAATATTTAATTAGCTTTAAACTAAGACCCCAGAGCGAGGAGCTAAATTATTTTAACTTCGGGAATAATTTCTATTATTGATCTCTTTCTGTCTCTCTCTCTCTCTTTCTTCTTCTCTTTAAACGTTCAGATATATCTGATACATCGCACGAGGAAATTTATATATGATCGCTTCTCTCTCGGCAGCATTATCGATCGCATCACGCTTAAATCGCGCGTTTAGTCGACTGAGCAGTTAGTCAGTGTTATTCATCAAGACATCTCTCGACGATGACGGGCATCGTTAACAGAAAGGGGAAGATTAACATCGTACCAAGAAATTCAACACCTCGAGAGCAGCGTGATTAAAGACGAGACGAATCGAGGATGAAGAGAGAGAAAGGAGAGAGAAAAAGAGAGAGAGAGAGAGAGATAGGGGGGAGGGGAGAGGCGCTATTGGCTCTAATTGCCAGTACTGACCGAATAGAAGACGATGCTCTCCGCTTGACTCGGCTCGGCTTGCCTCGCCACCGCTCTGTATCGCGCGCGATCGACGCCTCTCGTTTAACATACCGACACAAAAAAATATACGCAAGAGGAAGTGTCATACATTTTTGTTCGGCCGTTGCCTCAGAGCCGTCGTGCTTGTCCGCGCAGCCAACGCGCCTCGTTGATCTTCCGCAGGCCATCTTGCCCCCGAAGCGATGCCCCCGCAAGTATAGATCGACATACGCGCGCAGAAATCAGCGTAATTGCGCGATATTGCGTATACTAAGAAGAAAGACATAAAATTGTTGGAAATATAAAAGCGTATATAAAAATGTGAAAAATTAGTAATTCTTATTTATTACCCTAAATGATAAATAGATTTATATCATCTATAAAAGTTGCGCTATTTTTCCAGTTTTGGTCTGATTTTCAGAAAATATCTCCGCCCGAAAGGTAAAAACTCTGGGCTGCATGGACCTAGGAAAAAAAAAGTTTATTAATTTCCTCGAAAAGAGATGTGTTATACTTCGATGTAAAAAGTAAGAAGTAACAATCTTTCTTTCGAAACCGATCTTTGGACCAATATGAAAAAAACTGATTACAACCCTTTGTATCTCAGCTCTTGCAGTTAAAGAAAACCTGAGTAAACGTTGAAATGTAGGATATCACATAAGCCTTTAGACGTATCTTTTCAAAGATATTAGAAAATAGATTATATAAGAAAAAAATGATGATTTTCATAATGATAAGATGAAAACTACAAATAGAGTAATTTGTCTCATTACTATAAATAATATATAAATAATACAAAACCCCATTATATAGATAATGTTTGCGGTAGCATCCTGTGATGCGTACAAATAGGTAATCCTCTAAAAGTTACGTTGATATACCTGAAAAAATATCTTGAATGGAAAAACTTTTGGAAAGAATTAAGAAGTCATCCCGAACCGAATAGACTTGTCATGTTAATTTTGTGAAAAACCATTCGAAATGTTCAACCCAAAATATTAAAACATTGGAGTAAAAAATGTCGGATAATAATGTTCAGAATTAATTAAAATTAATTTTGAAAATTATTTTTTTTCTTTTTCTTATATTCGCGATAAAAATGAATTTCTTAAATTTGATGATATACAAAAAGTCGGAAGAAGAAGCTGCGGGGGCCAATTAATCTCTCTAACATTTATCGCGCGCGAAACGAAGCAATTCGGCTCCGATTACGATCATTGCCTGTTGTTTAACAATACCATTCGCTCTCGCGCGCGGAGAGAGCCCACTTCTCTCTTTCTCTTTCTCTCGGACATTGTTCCGAGGCGGTCCTCCGTTTTCATTCAGTAATTCGCAGGCAGCTGCACACTAATAATAGTAACGGACAGTGCGTCGCTACCACGTTCTCACCACGTTCGACGTAACGACGCGGAGCAAGAGGACGTGTTCGGAGAAGATGAGGAGAGGAGGATTGCGAGATGTGAGGAGAGAGAAGCGTCAAGAGGGAAACGGAATCGTTACACTGATTCCGATCGCTGAATTTGGAAGAACCCGTGACTAAGAAACACTCGGTCCACCGATTGATTAATTACGTCGACTTGAGCGAGTACGAATGCTCGAGACGATCTAAAGTTTACACATAAGAGAAAAAAAAACCATCTTATTCTAAGTGAATATTTTATAGAGAATATATTTGATGCAAAATAAAAAAAATTTATTTTTTTCACCACATTATTTTGTTATCAATGTTGACAAAAAGTACGACATTTAAAAGATGCGAATGCAATTTAAGATATCTCTTCCGTTGCAGAATATTACAAACGTATATTTTTTATAATCGTATACGTTAATGGCAATACAGATAAGGCCTTAATAACGCATAGCGACTTCACCTATTGACAACAGGCGATAATGCGCGTCGTTATCTTATTTACGCTCGGTTTCATCTGTAAGACGAATGGTTTCTTTATAGAGCAAAGTGTGTTTGCATTCCTTTCTCAGAAAGTTAATAATTCAAGGAAGAACACAGTATTATATAAACTGGTTTTAGTAATGCATTGTTTACAGTTAAAAGCCAATATTTCCAAGACTTATTTTCAAGACCTGCATTTAGAGTTTGAAATAATAAAAAAATGTTATAAAATTATAAAATAATAATATGCTAGATCTTTACGATTAAAGCTTAGATTTTGATGATTAAAGTACAAACAGATATTAAAAACTATAACAAATGATATCAAATTCTCAAAATATTTTATATGATCTATGGAGACTTGAGGAAACAAAATGATAACAAATGTTTTATAAAATATAAAATATTTCGAATAAAATTTATATACACATGACTGTTTCCTGTGCATGTACGAGAAAAAGGAATGTCATCAACATCTAATCAATAGCTACTACTACTTCGTGGAAAAAAAAAAATAAGTAAAAAATTTTGTTGGCGACTGTGATTTACTCTGCGTCTGCGTTTACGCATTATAAATTACATGGCATAAGCAATCCCTCTCTTTGTGCGGACATCACAGCGGTGAAAAGTCAAGGAAATTAAACGTAGATAACCGCGAACGTTATCGCGCGCCACTTCTCACCGCATAATTAGCGTTATGCGTTTAACCTCGTTAAACGTGCCATGCGCATCGTACACGTATTTAGGAAAAATCGATTCTGAATTCTGTGACGCATCTGTACGCAGTACGATAGATATATGCTACAGACACCCAGATATTCATAGGATTACAGATTCGATTAATATTTATATATTGATTAATTAAATTTAATAAATTTATCAAGCCGTTAATAATTAAAGCGCTCCGATTCATCTAGATAATCTAATCATCTATGTGCTCTGACTTTTACTTAACTTTATTATTTGCATTTGTACATTTTAATTAACGAATTTAAACTCGCGTGCGCGCGGTTTTTTTTAGTTTTAAGAAGTTTTTCTCTCTCTCTCTCTCTCTCTCCTCGAGTTTTTCGAGGAGAGAGAGAGAGAGAGAGAGAGAAACTTCTTCTTCTTCTATTTTAATCTAATTCCCTATTAGAGTGTTGACCTTCTTCTTAAAGAGAACTCATTTCAATTAAGTAAGAAACATTCGCTATCAGACACATTCATTATCAAACATTTTTTTTCTGTATAGAGATATTCGTTGTATTTTTACCGCTATAAAAAAATTACTTTGATAATTAATATTTAGTATATAGTAGCAGGAGGGGGGAGGGGGGGTGAATGCCCTTCGTAGTTGTTTTTATCAACTTTAGCTCGTGTGATGAAAGAATGTAGTACCGCGAGCCTATCTGTTAAAAACTGTGAAACGTAGTACCGCGTCATCAAAAATATTTTAAGCGTATATACACGTTAGGAACCTCTTAAATACCGAACAACTCGGTTCACGGTGGCACTTTGATCTCAAAAGGTTTAAAGAAAGCAGCTTCTGTTCCATTCCCGCGTTATGATAGCTCGCAGGTCAGCCCGTATCAAAGTTCTCTCTCTTTCAACACACAGCGCACCATTTTCTCCCAATATGGAGCCGACCCTCGGAAGAAAGAGACAGTGAGAGGGAGAGAGAGAAAGAGAGAGGACCCATATATCGCGCTTCGTAGGAAGCGACCACACCGGCACGCGCATCTCCATACACAACGCGCGCATCCTTTCACTTGTCAGATAAAGAGCGGAGCAACAACGGCCGCGTGTCAGTCGAAGCCAAAGATACCGTGGTTTCCGGTTAATGAGCGCATGGCGATAAGAAGCTGCTTTGCCGATATCCACGAACGAGCTACCGTTACGGGAATTTGCTCATAAATTTGCTTTCTCTTCAATCTGCGCTCGTGACAATGATTCTGCGATAATTGCGAGAGATCCACCCTGCAATAAGTTGAATATTATTGAAATAATAATAAAGAAATGATATTTTAATCTCGATACCGAGTATATTGGGTAAATTTATTTTAGCAAATGATTTTATCCAAAATTCTCTCTTCATCCTGTATATTTTGTCGGAGTAATTTTGATATTTGCAGAATATAAGTTTATTTCTCGATATATTTAATTTATGATTTTTTTTTTTTGCGAGAAGGTTCAAATTATTTCTTATAAAATGTAATTTTTCTGGTATTTTATTAATCAGTATATCCTATAGAAAACACGTATATAAAAATTCTGAAAGATATAAATCGATCCTTTGATTTGATTCGATTATATAAATGCCTCCGTAAACGAATAAATTTTATCCATTAGTAAACATATTCCTACGTATTATACATCAATTGAACATTTTAGGAGGGACGTTCAAATGTGCGAAGATAACGTAGAGCCGTATATTCCACCCAGATTAAAAGCACGATCGAGCGATGTGACAGATCGCTTGACCGGAATAAACGTGGCGAGCGCGGGGCGCGCGCAGACGACTGTTACGCTCCTAGCTTTGATTACGACCGACGCGACGCAGGGGAACGCGACGCAGGTAGGGGATGTGGCGACGACGGCGACGGCGACGGCACGGGCACAACGGACAGACGGATACATAGAGCACACGCACGGATCGCTCGAGGATAACATCTCGCTGCCCCAGGAACGGCCGTCAGCGAGAGCGGGGACCGCGCGCGCGGTTGGGAAGAATGGCAGGAGGGGAGCGGGGAGAGGTGGCACACCGTAGGTGGAGGATGCAGGGGAGAGATCTCATCGGCCGGTAGCCACGAGGGTTAAGAGCAGCGTGTAGGAGAGGAGAGGGAGAAAGAGAGATAGAGAGAGGGGGGGGGGAGAGAAAGAGAAGCGAAGAGGGATTCCAGCGTGTCCATCGTCGTATATCGGACAAGAAGGAGGGAAGGGGAGAAGGGGGAGGGGAAGAGACCGATCTCGATATCGGGGAGGAGGTTTGACTCCGAAGTGGAGGGGATGGCGAACACGCAGTAATGCGCGCGCGCGCGCGCGCTCCCGCTCTCTCTCTCTCTCGAGAGAGAGAGAGATGAAGCGAGAGAGAGAGAAGAAGCATGGGGGCGGTGGCTGGCTAAAGCTACACGGCCGCCATCACCATCCGTCCCATCCTATAGTAAACTCCAAAGCAGTCCCCGATCTGTCTTCGTGTGTGTTAGTTAGGGAATCGTGTTTTACCGGTGCTTCTGGCTTCTCTACTCGGCGCGAGGTTTGCTAGTAACGCACCGAAATCGTTTCTTGCCTCGTTACCTGCCTTACGTGCTCCTCGCTATCACTCCGCTCTATTATGTCTTGACACCGCCGTCCTTCTACATCTCTTGCACTCTTTCGCTTCTCCTTTATCTCTCGTTCCTATCGTGTATCATATATCCGCGTCGTGTCCTTTCTCCTCCTCCCCTCTCCCGCCCCCGCCTACGTCCCCGCCACCCCTTTTCTCTGTCTCGTCTCGCGCGCGTAATTGCCCGCCGTCTCATTGTCCGTCTTCTGTCGTATCGAGAGATCGCCAGTCGCGAGTGCTCCCTTTTCTCTTTTTCTCCCGTAGTGCGAAGACGGGAGAGTCTTCATCGAGAAGGTGAAGGTGGTGAAGAAGGTGGAGGAGGAGGAGGAGGAGGAGGAGGAGAAAGAGGTAAAGGAGATGGAAGAGGAGAAGAAGGAGGAAACGGCGCAAGAAGAGTGAGAAAAAGGAGCATTTTTTTTTTTTTGTGCGCGATATATTCCCGTGGATATATACCGGGTACACACATCGAGCTGCCTCTCCCTTTTCTCTCTTTTTCCCTCTCTATCTTGTTGCGTTCCTCGCTCCCTTTCGCACACTCGCCTCCTCTCACTCTCTCTCTTTCTCCCTCTCTTTTCGGCGTTTCCACGCGTCCGCCCGATCTCGCGAGATGTACGCGCGCGGGAGTGCAATGATTATTTACAAAGCGTAGTTGGCCGCGATCGTCGCATTTCAACCGTCCACCGTCTCGACAACGAGACACGAAGGAAGACGCGAAGGAGAGAAAGAAAGAGTCCGAGGGATATACTCATGTAACCACGAATGACATACTATTGAGACTGACGTTTCGAAACTCACCTGGAATCTCCGAGAAAAGCTCACCGCATAAAACTACATCTCTTTCATCGTCGACAACGAGTCTCTTGGCGTCTTCTCGATCGTGCATCCTCATCTTCGAACAAGAAAAACAAGGAACGGAGCAAGGCGGTTTTCGCGACGACTGGAATTCTCCGTCCCGTCAGGATCGCGCGTTCTCTCTTCTCTACGTTTCTCGTGCCTCGATCCTTTCGCGACAAGCGCGAAGTAGAGCTTGTTGATCTCGCCGACAGTGACAACGGCCACGTTCTAAAATTCTCTCCGCGAGAGACAACGCGGCCCTGATAGCGATTGTTTGTGCTTCGCGACGCACGTGTCTTCAATGTACGTAGCCGGTATTGGTCGCGCATCGTCGCCACGTAGTGCGTCGTTCTCCTCCTCGTGGCCGACGTAGCCGTCGATCAGGTTGCGCGACGCCCTACGTCATCTCCGAAATCGGCATCCGCGACGATGAGATGAGCGGTTCGTCTCAGTCCGTATTTCGTGCCGCGACAGATCGCAGGGTCGAAGTGGCGAAGGGAGGATAGATGAGCGTGTAATAAAAGAGCGATAACGCGGTGGATCTGTCCGCTACCGCGAGTATTGCGAGGGCAGCGGTTCAAAGTACGCGGAGAGAAGCGAAAAGGAGAAAGAGAAGTTGCAGCGATGATGATGCGCCGCTGTGCCTTAGAATGCCGATGGACAACGAACTTGTCGTCGTGAGGCGAAGATCGAGCTGACGTGTCACGCCGGAGAACGGAACCTGGCCGCGACGTCGACGAGCCGAGGCCGGAACTGGAGGAGGAGGAGGAGGAAGAGGAGGAAGAGGAGCCGCCGGACGTAACCCCCCCCACCCCCCCCGAGGCACCGGCTCGCACGAATATGAGCATGACTCTCGTCCGAAATTCGTTCAAGGGTGAGTCTTGCTTGCGAGTGTAGTTAATCATCGAGAATAGTTGCAAGTTGAAAAAACAATCATGAAAATGGTGAATCGGCGAAAATTTTTTGAAATTCAGTGATTAAAAAATTATAGGGAAATAGAATATCAATTTTACTGTGTGACAAATATACATCAAAATATATTGAAACATATACGTGAATGCCTTTCGTCTAATTAGACGAGAATAGCTGACTGTGCATGATGACTATCTGTGTCTGGGAGGAAAAATCCAAATACATATACACATATCAGACGTTTACTATATAACGTAAACAAGCTACATCAATTTTTTAACTAAATCTTCTTTAACGAAATATGTCGAGAAAAATTATCAATCGCATAGTAAGCGAGTGATAGTTTAATTTTTAATATTACACATTAGTAATCATATATATATATATATATCTTTCTCTCTCTCGCTCTTGAATCAATTAAAGTTTATTTGAAAATAAATAAGGAACATGAGAAACTTTAATTTGCTGTTCAAAACTTAATCTCCAAAAAAAGTGTTTAAATCTTAATTTAAAAAAACTGCTATAACTTCAAAAGTAAATTATAATCAAAGATTCTGTAGTCAAAAGCTGGCTTAATAAGGGTGACACATCCTGTACATGTTAACGATAACATTAAAATTACATCGTGTTACGCGATTTTATTATTTTATCAATCAATTTGAAATAAATCAGAAAATTTATGAGTGAAATTAAAAGCGCGCCGCGCGCGAGAAACTTTGTAAAGAAATTCGACGTATCTTCGCGTAGGCGGACGACGCGAAACATCGCGGACACGACTTCGTCATCTGGTTTTCGACTCGATGAGCCTCGGAAAATTCGCAGAACGCGTGCCGCTGCACGTGCGCGACCTATATCGCCTGCGTGATATAAGGCGGCATTTAATGGACGGGGCAGCATCTGCGATTGACTCTACTGTCAACTGTCCGCTGTCTAGCATTTCGTGAAAATCGATACCGACGTAACGTTATCCCTGGATTTTATCTTCCTGCGGAAAAATCTTCTCTTTATATTTCGTGCCATTCTATTTTTCACGAATTTCGTTCACACAAAATTACAAAAGTAGAGGAGAAAAATCATTCGGTTAGTAAAAGACAAAAGAGTATAAAAATGAGTTAATTCACCAGTTTTGTAGTTTTAAATAAGCGATAATAAAATTTATATAAGCTTGTTTTGAGAAAAATCAAATTATTATACAACTCTCAATATTTTTTTGTAATATTAATATATATTAAGCCAATTAAAATGAAACTTGAACAATTTGATAATGTCTTCTATATTCTTACTTGTGGAAAATAAAAATAATTAAACTATGAGATAATTAAATTATCTCAATATAAAGTGAGAAAGTGATTCGAGACACTTCCATTAAATTTTGATACAAAGAATTTTGCTACGATTTGATTTTTTCGCTTTTGCGTATTGAGTGATTATTATCGCATCGAGCGTTTCAAATTAAGATCAGAATTCAACTTGTCGACTACTGTACATAAAATATCATTTTTTCTAATTTTCTAATTTATAACTCATATTTGCACAACATCGTCCAACTTATTGGCTTTATTCATTTTACCTTGTACACATGCAGTTGCACGTATATGTGCCATGTAGATGGAAGGCGCAAGATCCACCTTGGCCGATTTAGTCGGTAATGAATCTTACCATTCTTGTCACTATACGTCACGTCAGTTTATCTGGACCTTGGTCGTCGGCTCATCGCAATGTTCGCCATTCGTAAACGCGCGATTAGTCGCATATCACTACATTGTAGATTATATACTGAAAGAAAATACTCTTATTCTGTTATTGCCATTGAACGATTACTGTAGATTGATGCTGTGGTATAGATATGTTTTGTCACATCATATACATGCAAGATGTTAATTTCTTAGACAATTTAGAGAATTATGTATTGTCAAAGAAAGAAACTTTCAGACGAAATAACGTTTATACATTTATAATTACACATTGATACATAATCTTTAATTGATGAAATTATCGGAATCTTCAAAGTTCAATGTGTTGACTTTGCTCTAAATCAACATTAATTAATCTTTAAATTCGCTTGTAAATATGCTGCGTCAGCAAAATTTTTTAATGCATCATTTTCGTTAAAAAAATATTTACAAGTAAATAATATCTTTCTTGATTTTTCGAAAATTAAAGAAGAATGTATATATAAATAGAAAGAACGGTTCCATTTTGAAAGAATCTTTTTCATACATCAAGATTACTCTTTTCCTTGAAGGAGCAACACTGTAATCTCTGTAATCTCCTCTAATTTGCGCCTCTAGTGATAACAAAGTTATAGAATATTGAAAGATTTTCCAAATGGCTCGATTGTAACCAAGAGAAACCTGGTTTTCTTTATAGAGAACACTGCACTTTGATTAAAAAATCCTATCGTAATCTCTTAATATCGTTACTTTTTATTTCATAAGAAAATTCTTTCTTCTAATAGAGATTTTATTCACGTGAAGGGCGAGAAAAGAAAAACTTTTTTTAAATATTTTAATTATTTTTTACAATAATATTCCAATACGAGATTTTATAATTTAATACTTTTAAAGAACGTGATATATTTAAAAAGAATAATTACATATAATTACGTATAGAAAGACTGTACTATTGTACGTTTAGATTTAAAAAGATTATCCTGATAAGAGTTAGAATTCTGCCTTTGTGAATAACAAAAAGGTAAAGAAATATCCTAGACGATTCGGAAGCGGCGATCGCTTTGGTCTCGTAAGAACGGCGAGGCACGTAACTCGAAACTCGCGGAAAGCCAAAAATCAACTCGGCGTGTTTCTCGTGCAGCAAACGCCAACGGAGAACGCGCGTGTGATATGGTGCGCGGACGCGGATGTGTGACCGGCGATTACACATCGAGTCAGGTAGCAACGAAGTCGTGCCCCGTACGAAAATATTTAACTATTCCTAATATTGGCTCGAATACGCGCCGGCTTTTATTTTCGTCTCTACGGCTACAATCGCCAAACAAAAGTTACGCGTGTACATAGAAAAGCGCCGTTGTTTCTGTAGCTTGCGGCCAATGCAGTTAAGTTTAAACAATTCTCTATGTATAGATCGTCTATATGCGTTAAAAAATGCAGAGTTTATATAAAAACTTTGGAATTTGTTAAAAAAAAAAAAAAAAAAAAAAATAACAGAGAAAAGGGAAGAACCTTTTCTAGATAAAAGGATATAAAGAAAAATATAGAAAAATAAAGCAAGTAAGTTTTTATAAAAGATTACGTATAATGAAAATTCTATTATTTATATTATACTTAAAAATAAAAGTCGTTATAAATTTATAGAATATAATTCCCGATAATACAAGTAAAATTTTATATTTTTGTGCTTTATTATCATGGTACAGAGAAAGATTTTATTTTCACATATTTATATATCTGCGAAAATTGTGCTCAAGAAAATTAAAATACAAAAGGGATTACGAAAAAACGATGAGTTAGAATTGATTGTCACATTTTGCGAGAGATTTGATCGCGAACAGACTTTTTTTAACATTACTTTATCGATGTATTTTTCCGAAAAAGGTTTGATTTTGAAACTGCTTATATAGCATGTGAACGAGAAAGTGCGTTGTTCTCGTGAGAAGATCAAAGTTCACCATATGTTTCAACGCGAGATGAATATAACTAACAAAGTCTGGATATACCTGTGTTTTGCGATCTTTTGTACTTTCTTTTTAGCTTGTTCTTTTTAATATACTGCTACTGTATCGTGTTTCAAACCCTTTTTCTCTCGTTAGTTGTAGTCTATATATGCAATTAGTGATCTGGTACCCAAAAAAAAAACAATAATTTTTTCATGGTACGAAGAGAAACGATACAAATTCCCATTACGCATTTCTTTTTTATTCTTTTCTTGTGTGAAAATCTATTTAATCATTATAAATGCAGAAATTATCGATATTTAGACATTGTAATAAGCATTCTTTTTGGTTTCGGATACAGCGTAAATCTTCTGAGAAAAGTCCTACATATATGAGATAAAACGATTCACGCGACTTCAAACAGATAAAGTCGTTCAATTCAATATTATTATATGTACATTTATTTTTTATTTTTTATATATAATTGAGAAACACATAAGTATTTCTCTCGTAGATAACCGATTCGCAGATAATGTGTTTCGTGTACGATAATCGAATAATTTAACTTCACCTATATATACGTATCTTGTTTTGCAACGAATTCAATTGATCTGTTTACTTATATATTTTCGCATTATCATCGTAGATTACAAAATATTTATCTTACTGCATTATAGATAATTAATGTGTTGAAATATCAATAGTTTTCAAATTATTAAGCGGTTGGAAAAAGATAAGATTTTTTCATAAAATAAGTAAATACATAATATTCTGCGGTTAATCTCGAGTAGATATTAGAAATATGACAATAGAATTTTTATCTGAAACTTTGTTATAAAAATATATAATATCGCGTATTTAAAAGTCGTGGTACCTAAAGTGAACATCTTCCTCAACATCTTTACTAAGAAAAAAAATCAGAATTCCAGAAAAACTCTATCGTTAAAAATTTAAAAAAATTTTTTAATTAAATTTTTTTTTTGGGGGGGAAGAGCGCGGGTTGCGGGATTCCCCGTAAATTTATCGCAACCATATATGTATGTATACATGATTTCCTTTCGGCAATCCGCCATCTTGCCTCCTCGTTCATTGATGTTACGATAGTGCCAGATCGTTCAGGCATGTTTTATTTCCACCGTTCTTCGCACGTAGGACCCAGCTTTATACGTCGTGCGGTTGCTCAATAATTTTGATTGGTAGGACAGCGCGGATTACCGCGCCGCGCCGCGCCGCTCGCTCGTTTATGAGAGCGCGTCGAAGTGGTTTTAACGTTCTGGAAGATGGCGGCCGCCCGCGCCCTATCAAGCTCAATGACCTCTCCGAGAAATCGTTTACTTCGCACCGTGGCA